GCGGCAGCAGTGGCAGCAAGGCCGAGGCTGTGTGCGGAACCTTACGGAGAGGTACCACGACATAAGCAGCGGTGAAGGTATTCTGAATAGCGGGCAAAGCAAACTAGGGTTCTACGGCCAGCAGGTACACACATTTGCTATGCTTATCTACTTGATCTAGGGCGTTCTTCTCACGGATTGACTGTAGGACTGAGTTTTCTTGGAAAAGCCATTAGATAACAGACAACTATTCCTTTTTAAATCACCTTTTACCCCGGTGTTTAGTCTACATGGTGGATTTGGTTGCATTGCAGGCATATTACAACAATGTAGAATCAATAACCTCATATTATTTGGAAATGATCTATCAACAAATTCATGAAAACTTGCTGCTTGCCGCAACAGTAGAACTACTGCGGGTTATCATTTGTAACTAGGGATGCAAGTGGTGCGACACAATTATCCGCTTCTTGTGTTTTGCTGCCCAAATCAGTCGAAATAGACTTTTGAGATAATTAGCACTCCCTTTGTAAAAAGAAAGCATTTAGATCACTATTTTAGTGTTCTATAAATGCTCTTATATTTCTTTACGGGGAGAGTAAAATTTACTATGAGAGTTGTTTATCGGATTGTGGCGGCTGCACCGCTTGCATCCTTATTTTAATAGAACCGAAAGAAAACTGTATATATCACCCTTGATTATTGATATCTCTTCACTCATTTTTTTGGAGACAAATCTGCGTATAAAGGGCCCCGAATTCTTGGTTCGCCCCGGGCCCCTAAAATCTCAGGACCGGCCCTGACCCCGCCACGCTGTTGGTCATTCCGCAAACCATCCTTCACAATGTAAACAAGCTTGAGAGAGCTTTTCTTTGGTCCGGTGCGGACAAGACGATATGGGCAAAATGCAAGGTAAATTGGGAGATTGTATGCCGGCCTCTCGAGTATGGGGATCTTGGGGTGCTCAACACCGACAAGTTTACACGTGCTCCCCGGTTGCGCTGGCCGTGGTATGAATGGAAGGAGCCCACCAAGATGTGGGTGGGATTGGGAAACCCGTGTGGCGTGAAGGACCTCAACTTCTTCTATGCATCCACCACTATCACAGTCGGTAATGGTGCAAAGACCCCTTTCTGGGACTCGCCTTGGCTCCTTGGGCGCATGCCAAAGGACATTGCCCCCCTCATTCACGAGGCTTCCACGAGAAAGAATTGGAAGATGCGGGAGGCCCTCAAGCATAACGCATGGATTCTCAAGATCAAGCCACCAAAAAACGTCTCCGCCGAGCACATCTTGCAGTTTTTCACTCTTTGGATGCTCTTGCACGAGGTCGAACTTGATGAGCTCACCGAGGACGACATCCTATGGAAGCACACGACTAGTGGGCAATATTCGGCGGCATCCGCATACAAGGCACATTTGTAGGGATGGTTCTCTCACCCATGGATAAAATGATTTGGAAGGCTTGGGCTCCTCCAAAAGTCAGGTTCTTTGCTTGGTTAGCTCTGCAAGATAGAATTTGGACAGCCGATAGATTGGCAAAGCGTGGATGGCCAAATAGTGACATGTGCCCTCTTTGCAAGAGTGTGCAAGAAAGCGGGACTCACCTCCTCTACAAGTGCCGCTACACGAGAAGGCTATGGTCTTTGATCATTGACAAATACCACATTCTCGGGCTCGACACAAACACTTGGCCCTTGTTTGACTCGGTTGAGGCTTGGTGGGCAAGTACTTGCGACAGCGCCACGCCATTCAGACAAGCGAAGGCATCCCTCACCATGCATGCTTGTCTCATGGACTATTTGGAACGAGTGAAATGCGAGAGTGTTCAAGCAGAAGAGCGCGCCACCGACTACATTGCTTGCCTCCATCACGACCGAGGCTAGCCTCTGGATCATCACCGGTGCAAAAAAACTAGGGTCCATAATATTGCGAGAGTAGTTCCCATGCCGTGTAATCAGGTTGCTTGTAACAAACTATATTCTCTCTTATTCAATGGATGAGGCAAAGCTTTTGCCTCCTTTTCAAAAAAAATAACTGGCACATGGTAATATATATATATGGACTTACTGCCCTCTAGGAGGCCCAGGTGAGTTTCTGCGCGGTGATGGGCAGCCACGAACCCTCCTAGGTGACAGTTGTGAGACTAGTGTCAGCAACTCCTCAGGCTAGATACACGAAAATTTAGAAAACTTACCGCATTGATGACCTATATGCCTTCTAGGTGCTGAAGGAGAGAATGTCTTCTTTTTTTCTCGATAAAGGGCGATTTTATTGACACAAAATGTATCAAGGAGAGAATGTCTTCTAATTGGAGATCCTGGCCTTCTGTCATCACGCCTAACACGGGATGGATCTGGTGGACGAAGAATAGTAGAATCAGCACGACACCATGGAGATGGACGCCTGTGTGACTCAACCCTTAGATTTGGAGCAGACCACTTTTGCGAAGATGAAGGTGGCTTTCTTCTTGGTCGTGGAGATGCTGCTGGCAGATATGTAACAGGACAAGGCTATAATGTAATTGCCAAGTCTGATAATGAAATTATTCATAATGCAAATCAATTAGGAATTTCACTTGGTAATAATGATCTTGAAATTGCCAAGTCGGTTAACGACATTCTTGATTTGGAAGCCGATCGTGCGGTAGATATGATTCGTCACATTGCTGCCGTTAAACCAATGAATGACTCGGAGATTGATGCGCTTGGGGTTAGGGTTCTTGTTGGCATGTGTGCTGATCTTGACCCTGCTCTACTTGAGACAGAGGAAGACACCAATCCTGAGACGTTTCTTCATGTAGATGAGCCTTTAGGGCTAGAAGCTGAGAATGAGGGCGGTGATCAGGCTGATGGTCACATAAAGCCTAAGCGGACATGGAAACGA